TGCAATGGAATCGGGAATGAAACATTGAGATTGGACCGTCCCAACAGTTACAAAAGTCGAGAAGGCTGTAACTAATCTGGACTAGGGAAAAGCAGCAGGGCCAAGCCAGATGGGCTGGTACCGGAGATATTTAAAAACGGTGCTCAGGTAACATAAGTGGGGTTAGTCGGAGTCTCAGATAGCGTACGGGAGTCCGATATGATCCTCTTTGACTGGTTCCGACTGCTGACTGCCTCAGTCTTCAAGAAACGCGAGGAATCCCCTCGTGCAGTTGATAACCATAGAGGAGTCGGTCTGATGAAAATAGTGTCTAAAGTTCTAGGTTCTATAATCATTCGACATCTGAGTGTAGAATGAGAACACCAAACCTGAGGAGACCAGGCAGGTTTCAAGCTTGGTCATGGGTGTGTCGAGCGGATATTCACCATTGGCCACTGCCTACCTTGACGTACCATGCTAGGTGAAGTTGGATTAAGTTGGAAGACTGTTCAGGGTGGTCAGACCAATAACTGGCACCAGTCGATGAAATCCATGACTACTGATCTGAGTTCTGTGGGCGATGTAGACTGCATGGTTAAGGTCCCTGAGACGAAAGGAATCAGTGGTTGAGGACTGTTAGTGACATGACTAGAAATCAGTCACAATGGCGCAGATGTATTCACTCTTTAGTGTCTTCTAAATCTTGAATATTTATCTTAACTGTTATGTTTAAATTGTTTTTTCAGTCACACAACTTTGCCAACTTAGATATCACTTTTCCTATTCACCTGTTCTTTGTATACTAATGTGAAGTATGGCAACTGAGCCGATGCACCTGTGTGTGAGGTTCTACATTGATTTTGTCAGTGAGACAGTTTAAATTCCATGACTTTTGTTGCATTGATGGTATTGCTGTAGATAGGAAATCATGTTGAGTTTTACTCCTAACCTCTCTTGGCCGTGTTGCATCTTGTTGACTTCAAGAAAATCTTTAGTTCAACGTATTACATAAAGAAACTACGACTCTCTGGTATAACAGCCTATATTTTACAATTTATTAATTCCTGGAGTTTACCTATTGTCTTCTCTATTGTTCCCCGTTGATCTTTCCTGATCTACTAAAGATAGACTGTTTTATTGCATAGAGCTTTGGAAGCCGTCAGTAGGGTGTGGTGTACCTCTGGCCCAGCTGATCAACACTGGATTTGAAAGACATTTAAATTCTAGGTGACAACTAGCCACAGTAATTGTGACTGACACTGAGAATCCACTTTGTTCACAGCTCTTTCTTTTTATTTGCTCAGATAAGACAAGAAGAAGTTACATAAGACTGTACGCTCGTACAGCTAAATACGAGAATTTGACCATGCTTTATTTAGTACGCATATTATTTGAGGAAAGATGCGTTAGAACAGAACTCACTTATTAACTTTGCAACAACAGATAATGTGTCTTATCAATATTTTAACTAATGATGTAAAATTTTGCTCGTTGGGAATCTTATTAACATAACCTAAAATGTTATATTAACACTATTTGAAATGTTGTAAAGGAGTATATATATTCTTTGTTGCAATATATTATGCTGAAAATTACAAATTCTATCAAAAAATTGTTCGGAATAAAGTGACTATCATTATTATTATTCTGTATGATGCATCTCAGAGACCCACATACAAGATCTCAGTGAAGTGTTTCGAATAAGTTTTGTCACTGTGAAGGCCTATTTGGATTTTCTAATTTCGATTGTAAACTAGATAGTCTTGCTTGACGGAATTCTTAACCTACGGAGATGAGGAAAGAAGTTTTGACCGAAAGACAAATGAAAAGTCTAAGCATCTGTTTATTACATATTTAACACTGATTTCTTACAGTTGAATTTTTCATTCCCAGTTTTATCATCTTAAGTTTTATAATAATTAAGCGCAGGGATTTTAATAGTAAGATTTCTGTTTATATCGTGAACAACAATAACAGCATCTTCTCTTCAAAAATTTGAAAACAGTTGGTCCCTTTTATGAATTTCGATAGCGTAATTAGAAGACGAAGTTTATCTGAGCAGTGTGATGTATTTGCGCAATACATTTCGAACAATCTGATCACACATTTACACTACCTTGGTAAACTTTGTTTTCTTACCAAGATTAAGACCAACTATGTCACTTTCTGTTTGTCCTCATCTTTCTTAATTTTAATCCCCTATTGTGTTAATTGTTGTATTTATCCCCTCTCCCAGTCCTCGGTTTAATATATGTTGACTTGACAAGTAAATGTGTGATCAGATTGTTCGAAATGTTTTGCGCAAATACATCACATTGCTCAGATAAACTTCATCTTCTAATTACGCTATCGAAATTCATAAAAGGGACTAACTGTTTCAAATTTTTGAAGAGAAGACTCCCTCCATGCACTGTTAAGCGGTTAAATGAACCATTTAACCTAAAGTGTAAAACCGCATCTGAGAAAGTGAAATTGGAATTTCTATAAATCGTGCATTTCTGATCACATTTTTCCCAGACAATTTTACAAAATGTTGCGATCCTCTAAATTGCAACCCGACCTTTCAAACCTCGTTCGGCTTATGAAATCACACATAGATAATTGCAATGAGAAGTTATGCAGCTTAACTGAAATGCGTACTCATGCTTCATGTGTATTGTCGGATATTTCTCTTATATACCACATTAAATTCATAAATTTTTGTAGCTCCGTAATCAATAAAACGAAGGATAGAACAAGGCAAAAATTGTCTAGATCCCTTTCCAATGACATTCATGCAAGCTCATTTCCATGCGTCCCAGATAAATATGCGACTAATTTATCCTCTGTTGTACTTTCAATTCATGAGAAAGAGGCGCTTTCCCTTGGATTCAACTTTTCAGTTCCATACACGCAAATCTGTCAATTGGATATTGATTCTCAGTTTGAAAATCTCTATGACCAATTGAGCCCTCTTGTCTCTACATCTTCAGATAACCAAAGTCGGTTAAGGGCTAAATTAGTTGGTATTGCTCACCAATTCCATAGTTCAGAAACAAGACAAAGAAGCATTTTGAGTTTACATCACTTCAAATCTTTGAGAGAATCACGGAACAGATCGGATATAATCATTCTTAAACCCGATAAGGGATCAGGTATCGTTGTGATGAATAAATCTGACTATAAAAATAAAATGCTATCCATCCTCAGTGACGAAAGCAAATTCATAGCCGATGTCCCATCAGAAGATATTAGAAAATTGGAGGCAAAAGTAAAACTTTTGAAGATGAATGCCATTAGCAAAGAGGAATTTAATTCATTGAAACCTATGGGATCCGAATTTCCAAATTTGTATGGATTACCTAAGATTCATAAAGCTAATAATCCCTTACGCCCTATATTGTCCGTGTCGTTCTCCCACATAAACTGGCGAAATGGTTGGTAAAAATGTTAAATCCAGTTCGAAACGAATTCTGTAAGTTTTCATTGAAAGATTCTTTTCAAATTGTTGACTGTCTTAGTAACATGAATATAAAAAACAAGATTATGTACTCTTTCGATGTAAATTCCTTATTCACTAACGTGCCATTGTCCAAGACTATTAGCATTCTCTGTGACTATATATCCTCAAAAAACCTCCCATTTCCTATTACTCCAACCTTTCTGAAGGAGTTATTATTGCTGTGTACCGACAAAGTCCACTTCACATTTGAAGGTGAACGCTTTCGACAAGTTGACGGTGTAGCTATGGGTAGTCCTTTAGGACCACTACTGGCTGATATTTATATGTCATATATTGAAAATCTGGCTGGTGATCTCATCGCTAAAGTTCCTCTTTACAAGAGATATGTTGATGACATCATAGTGATTTGTGAGACACATGAGGATATGGTTTGTCTACTAAATAGACTTAACGCCGTACAAACACAGCCTGACATGTGAGAAAGAGAATAGTAATCAACTGCCATTCCTAGATATACTTCACAGTCGACAAGAAGATGGTTCAATAAGACGGTCAGTTTACAGAAAGCCTTCATGGACAGGACAATACCTGAATTTCCACAGTTTTTGTCCAATCCAATACAAGCGAGGTTTAGTAAAATGCCTGTTTAACAGGATCTATCGTATCAGTACACTAGATGCGATGGGTGAAGACATCAAATTACTGAGCAAAGCACTTATGGAAAATGGATATCCGACGAAGTTTATAAACCGTTGTTGAGGTCAAGTAGCACCAAAGCCAACTCTATACACGGTCCTTAAGAAAAGTGTCCATATCACTCTACCATACAGAGGGGAGCTAAATAGTATCATTTTGAGACGTAGGCTGACATCAGCCATTAAGAAAACGTATTATGCAGCGAATCTTACCATTGTGGAGAAAACAAAACGCATGCTTCACCAAAAACCTAAACACTGCATCAGTGATTACGTCACATCCCATTGTGTTTACCAATTTACATGTGTGTGTGGTCACACACACATAGAGAGGAGTAATCGAGTTATGCAGTTGAGGGTGGGAGAACATGTGCCTAGATGGCTTCAAAAACAAATGGAGTGTGAAACAGTGATAAACGCTCATGGGAGATGACCCTCTTCATCTATAGCTAAACATATCGCAGAAACAGGTAACAAAGTTAATATTCAAACAGCTTTCAAAGTCTTATATAGAAACAGTCAGGGACGTATTCTGAGATTTGCGGAAGCCATAGCCATACACAAATTTAAACCACCTTTATGTGTACAAAAAGTTTTTTATTACACTACACCTACCTTGGTAAACTTTGTTTTCTTACCAAGATTAAGACCAACTATGTCACTTTCTGTTTGTCCTCATCTTTCTTAATTTTAATCCCCTATTGTGTTAATTGTTGTATTTATCCCCTCTCCCAGTCCTCGGTTTAATATATGTTGACTTGACAAGTAAATGTGTGATCAGATTGTTCGAAATGTTTTGCGCAAATACATCACATTGCTCAGATAAACTTCATCTTCTAATAACGCTATCGAAATAACAGCATCATAATTTTCCTCTTTTACAGCTCATCACAGCACCCGTGCTCAGTTGGGTAATCATAGAGTTCGGATATTTCTTTCCCATACACGGTGTTTCTGAGAACACATCCTATATCGTCCAAAATGTAGACACAAATATCTCTTACCAGTTTACGTCTTCTTCACATTCCAGTTCGTCTATATCTACAAACGAGTTTGTTTCAAATCATTCTCCTCAGGCTAAATGGCAACATTTATGTCCGTATATGCAATATAAATGCAATGAATTGCCTGGTTATTGTATTATCTGTAATTTCAGTAAATCATGCGTATATGGCATGGTAATTAATGTCACTTGTTCTCCCGTCACGGGGTTTATTGTAAATATCCAGATGGTGAAAACTCAAGCATTCATATCTCTACAACTAATACAACACAGTCTTCCTATTCTCTCACTGATCATACAAACTACCTGGTTCAGAAGCCGATTGTTTGCCGATATTGTCACCAGTTAGACGACAATGAGATCGTTTGCATTGGTCGTACGAATTGTCGTCAACCGAATGTAGCTCGGAGTTTCTATGAAACTAAATGTGAACCGCTTCCACACATATTATGTCTAGGAAGGAGAGTATTCCGACGTATGCTACCCTGTGATTGGTCCTCTGGTAAAAGCTATGCATTGACTGTTTTCTTAAGTTTGTTTTTTGGAGGATTCGGAGTCGATCGATTTTATTTAGGGATGTGGATAGAAGGATTAGGCAAGTTGTTCAGTTTTGGTGGACTAGGTTTATGGAGTATTGTCGACTTCATTTTAATTGTATCTGGTTATATAAAGCCTCCTGGAGATGCTGTATACTGGTGATTTAAAAAAAACTGAATTTCACACAATGATGGGCTCATTATATGCTTGGACTAATTTTTTTGTACTTGTATTTTTTCAGGTAAATTTAACTACCGATATGTACTTTATTCTTCTGTTGTGATAATAATTAAAGTATATTCTCCTCTAAGAAATACTCTCGATGTATTTCATGGGATATTCATATTCATGTTTCAACTTATTGTTTAGCAAAAGTTACGATTTCTGTTGTAAATGTTGATAGTTATCATCACTTTTTCACTTTAAAGAGTTGCTATCATTATTTTGGGACACATATTCATATTATCCATAGGATACATATACCTAAAATGCTTTCATCTTAAAGTTCAAAACTTTATTTTTCCTCGTTTGGTGTTATCCGAGCATTGAAGTTTGTTCTTGGTTTTTTTACCATTAAACTGGATGACTTCTTCAGCACTTACTATAGGGGCTTCAAATCCACAAATATTCCTCGTCGTGCATGCTCACCTGAAACTATCATCCAAGAATGTGTTAAAAGAAATATCCCTTCCTCTGGTAGTCTTATTATCTTGTTGTATTCCATGTTCTGAGCAATATAATTTCCAGCGGGCATTTCCCATTTGAATCCCTTCATTCCTGGTCAACGTGGTCACTAATCCATCTTCAGCAACAATACAGTGACAGGGAAGCCGATAAGTACTCGCGTTGGCTACATTGAAGGTCTGAAAAAACGAAATAATTAGATGAATGGTAGACATAAACAAAATCAATGTTGAACTTTGCACACAAGTCGATCGGTTCAAGTTGTCACACGTCACAATAGTATACAAGGTACAGGGGGATAAAAAGACTGGTATCTAAGTTGGCAAAGTTGTGTGACTGAAAAAACAATTTAAACATAACAGTTAAGATAAATATTCAAGATTTAGAAGACACTAAAGAGTGAATACATCTGCGCCATTGTGACTGATTTCTAGTCATGTCACTAACAGTCCTCAACCACTGATTCCTTTCGTCTCAGGGACCTTAACCATGCAGTCTACATCGCCCCACAGAACTCAGATCAGTAGTCATGGATTTCATCGACTGGTGCCAGTTATTGGTCTGACCACCCTGAACAGTCTTTCAACTTCATCTAGCATTGGACGTCGTGGTAAGGTGGTGGCTCATCATAGGCAGTACATGTTCAAGCCATCTCAATCAATGCTTGTTCACAACTTCATCAGTCGACGTGCATGTCCTGCCCGCTAACCTTCGCTTTACTTCAGCGTTGCTCACATGGTGATTCCACTGAATGCAAGCAATACTGAGAAAACATCTGTGGCCAAAACCCCGTCAGTGCTTCATGTCTTTTACTTTCAATGGCCATGTCTCAGCCGTACAACAGGACAGGATGAACTACAGCACAGTTTACTCATCCTTTGATAGATAGTTGGATATCTCCCCAGTCTCTCTATAGGTGACGCAAGTTGGCAAATGCAAAACGGACCTATATTCAAGCTGAGATTTCGTCAGCAAGCAGTCTGTTCGACGGGCTGATGTGACTCCCCAAGTATGTGAAGTGGTCGACACATTTCACCACTACACTCCTTATCCTTAGATCGGGAGTAGTTGCGGAGCATCGTCTTACATCTGACAGGTTTGAGATGCATGGCAGACAAACATACTCAGCTCTCTTCTCAACGCATCCCGAAGACCCTACATTGCGTCGTCGTCTTCACCTATCAGGTCAGTGGTAAAACAAAGCAGTTTCTATCGTCATGCGCAATGTTTGGACCGTGATTGCTGTACGAAGGCGAAGTCGTACTTCTGGCATATCGTCCTGTATAGCCGCAGTTAGGTGGTTTTAGTTAGTGACCAGCAGTTCCAGCTGATGCTACCTCTCCTTAACGGACCCTACCGATATCTGCTACCTTGGCGTAGCGGTCAGGATTGCATACCACGATGAGCTACGCTGGTGGAACCCTTGGTCCCTCGAACTTCTACCATGCCAGAAAAGTTTGTGGATAGTGGTGAGACAAAAAAAAGTTACCATTGTAGTGTAAATGACTACACTGTGGTGGGGGTCTGAGGCGACAGTTGTGCTGCTGTAAGGTATTTCCCTTGTATGATTAGCGGTGGCACGCTGATACTGTCTTCCCAATAGAAACGGAGGTCTCCCCTCGTTGTCTGACTTTAAATGTGTTGGTCTTATTGCAGGAGACTGGTTATTCGATCTAGAGTACACAGATGGTGTATTTCTGTCAGGTGAAGAAGCTGATAAGAAGATACAGAGCCTTCTGAATACATTGAATTACAAGTTGAGAATGTTTAGGATGCATCTGTGACCAAGAAAAAGGAAATTCTTCGCTTCAGGACTTGCCTTGTATGGTATGTTGGGCATATAACTTAGTTGAGTATTTGGATCAGCTGTGTTGGTTCAGTGTCGACGAAATTTCTTCACGGATCCAAAAGGCTCTATCTGATCTTGCCAGACCACGTCATCCGCTGAACCGGTGTGTTACTCGATTGCCTACCTTGCATCATTCCGTTATGTTTTTCTGTTGGTCTATGAAACATGGCAATTAAAGGGAGAGGATATAGGAAGGCTTCAGGTGTTCGATTACCGTTGTTTTCTCAGTATAGGTCACAAGTTAAACCTTCAAGTCGGTAATGTTTGGGTCAGGCTTACAGTTTTAGTCAAAAGTAGTAAGTCCGTTGAAGTTGTGAACTTTCATCTACTCAGGTGTCTGGAAAATTCGTTGCACACTTCTGTTAACCATCTGTCCCATCGCACAAAATCATTTGAGGCAGATTTATGCGGTCAAACTAAAACAGCCTCAGTCTGCTCCACGATCTCTGTGGTGTAGAGATATATTCGTGCATTATCTTAATCGTCGAACAAAATGTCACTACTTTATGACTTATTTTTCCTCTTTTATGTCCTACTAATTTTGGCCCCATATTTCTATTTATTATCTGTGTCTTCTACCTTAGGGTTCTGATGGAATGTGTGGCACCTGGGACTGTACACAATAATGTCAGGTCCAATGTTGAATTTGGCTGAGTGATATGATTTTTTGCAGTGTAATCTAATTATTTAAAAGTACATAATCCATATTTCTTCCGAAAATTCTTGATATACTCATGCGATGTACATGATTGACATTTACCAGTGTAGTAACAGACTAACTGAATCTTCAACTGGGTTGCCGTTTTGTGTAAGGATATAAACCGTCAGTGGAGCTATGGTTATTTTCTTATCATCACCAATGCATAGAGTAACAGTGTGACATACGGTCGTTCATACTTTTTAGATGGCCGCTTAGGTTAACTTCTTAATATTGAATGCGTTAGACTTTCGATACATAGAATTCTGCCTCTGTATGACAATATTTTCTCAAGAAAATGGTCAACTACCTACTCTGTGTCAGCGGTAGTATTTGACAATTAATCGGGAGATTTTTCTTAAATAAACACAAGATGAAATGCATCTGGTAATTGATTGTTCGGTTGTATTATATATATATATATATATTATATATATATATATATATATATATATATATATATATATATATATATATAGGTGATGTAATCCGGAGTCAGTTTGACGCAATATGCTGATTTCGGATACTCGTTTGAGTTTCGCCGTAAAGTCACTAGCATATCAAAAGAAGGAAAAGGAGACAGAACACTTATTTCACTATCTGACTGATGAGGAACAAAGAAAAATCTGCATTCATTTACAGTTTTCTACATAATCTTTCTGAGTGTGTTGAACTAGACAAGTCAGAAATTCTGAATGGGCTTCCAATTTTCTGAAAGACATTACTTAGAATAATTGATTTTCTCAAATTTTTGTTCTAACGTTAAGATTATAAATGTTTCTTATGATAACTTACAAGCAAAATAAGATGGTTTTCATGAAGACCATTATGTATACACAACCCTAATCAGTTTGTTTAAAAAATTATTTTGAGATGATGCAGAATATTTGTAGCTCAGGAGGAAGATTCTGATGATGTTATGTTCCCTGAGCTGGATGGTTTAATCGTGAAGTTGAACATCAACTGTCAGTGAAGCGTCATGGTGTATCTTCACTCGTACCAATGCATACGGATGACTTTGAACATGAATTTGACTGGGGAAATCGTGGATAGATGGAGTTCAAAGAAAGTCAGAGAATATTTAGAAACTTGGTATTCGGGTCATATCGAGATTGACCCAACTTACCAACCATTTAGAAACAAAGTTCACATCAGCAGGACAACCAGTCGAAATCAACATGCAATGATAAGACTTTGGCAGAAACAACCAATCACACACGAGGTCATCAGATCCAATTGCTAAGCGACTTGTGGAGAAAACCTTATAGCTCACTTCTTGCTGGAGTTGTATTGATGATGTTATCTAGAATGACGATGAAAAATTCACGATTAAACCGTCCAACTTAGAGAACATAGCCGCACCAAAAGTTAACACTCATTTCAAAACAAATTATCCATCTTATAACTAATTATGCGAAAGCATACATCGCTAGATGACTTCATAACGTAGTTTCTTAGCATTAGGATTGCAACTAATTTGGTTCATGAAAATATTTAAAATTTGTCATCGAACGATTTCACTAATCAGTCTTTAGAATGCGGGTATATCATCCAGCTGATGAGTTTCAGTATGGTAAGGTTCTCATCCTGAATTCAAATGTTAGTCACAACTGAATGTACGGCTAAAACACTGTTACAGGCGACCGTACAAGTTATCCATATGCCAACAGAAACCGATCTGTCAATCTGGAGGTTTGTGTTTATTAATTCGTTTCATAATGGGATTCATCATCGACGGACATCAGTTGGGGGAACATTGGAAACCTGGGAGCACTGGACAGCTGTTTCGTCTTAGTACGGGACTCCTCAGCGGTGCGCACCCACGACCTCGTCAGGGATCGAACCAAAGGCGGGGCTGTACACTACTAGAGAGTCCCATACCGTCCAGTGCTCTCAGGTTTCTAATGTTCCTCTAAGTGGTGTCAGTCCATGATGAATGGCAACCAGAAACCGATCTATTCAGTTCTGTATAACACCAACAAGAAGAATGAGGACTCCCGACAACAGAGTAGTGCTTATTAACAAGATATGGTTGTTGTACTTCAGTAGTATGGTGGGTCACAATTTGTCCGAGCTATAGGTGTTTGGCTGATGTCTCAGTGGAAACACACTGATAAAAAGACATCTGGCTAATGTGTTCTAAAGCAGGATAGCCAGCTCGTCTTGGATTTTACTGCTTACCAATATCACATACGTCGTGAATACTTTGCAAACCATGATAGTGATATCATCTGCGAATGCTTTTTTTACACGTGAACATTATAAATCAAACCAGCTGTTTGCAAACTGCTGTCCCTAGTGACAATGACACAATTATATGGAACTCAGTTGTGAAAGTTCAATAGGTTCTTTTGGAAGACTAAAACATACAGATCAAAGTATATGATCTGCTTAGTACCACAAGTGGCGTCAAGGATACCAATATGAAAGCTGTACGTTGTAGATCACTCATTCTGAGTACCCCACTGGTGAGGTAGACCCCTGTCTAGCAAATGGTCGTTTAATATTTAAGTGAACTAAATTCAGTGTAAGCAGTTTACAACTACTTATCAGTCAATACTATATTTCCTATAGTCTTTGATCAGAAATGTCACCCAATCAGATCTTGTTTAAAGTATGTGAACTAAAAAGAGTTGTGATTGAATATAATAGTTTATAATGAGTCCATTCGCTTCAGGAATTATTTTTCAAAGCTATTCTACCTACCTACATTAACTCTTCTCATTAGTTCGATCAATTTTCAGTTTTTGAATAAAAAATCAATATATGATAATGAGTGAGCTAAGGTAGTACGAGCAGAAAGGATTTAAGTAAATGACTGCTACCAGTGAAGTACAAGAACTCTCTTCTGCTTCAGAAGAGGATACATGCAGAACTGTACTAGAATTAGTGATTGAAATAGCATTTAAAAATACGCTGAACTCAGCCATTGATGATGATTTATTAAGTATTGCAGATGATATGAATATACACCTTGATGAAGATGCATGTTTAGACTCACTAGTAAAAATATAGTGAGAAAAAGGTTTTTAATTGAAAAAAATAATGATACTGGAGAAAACTATTCTAGCGATTTAAGCAAAATAAATATTAATGAAATACAGTCATCACAGCATGACAAAGAAAATACCCCACCAAATAATACTGATAGATATCATAAAAGATTGAGATCAGAAAACGAGAATGACTGCCAATTAGAAAGTCATTTTTGTGATGGTGCAACAAATGCAGCTACGTCCGAGGAATCTAGAACACTGCGCACGTATGATTCATTGTATGAAACGTTCTTAATTTGGAAAGATCTTATTATAACATTCATCAGTAATTTACTGGGTTAATATCTCCATTCTGAAAGTGTTTCCCTTCAAGTTATATTTTTCTTCTCATTCAGTTTCTCATAAGAAAGGTAACTTTTATTATTTACATAATACATACGAAATGTATTCAGTGTTTTGTTAAAAAACAATTTCTTAAAAGATCATTTATTTTATCGCCACAATAAAAGATGATGCTTAGAAAGCTCAAGAATTCAATGGAAATCATCCTATTTGGCTGGAATTATTATTGTTAATATCATTCCGTTTATCTTGCTTACTTACGGCTTATATGATCATTATTTTTACGACTATTATATTACTGTGTGCAATGTGGTTATTTTAAAAGTGGAATAGAAAGTTCTTTATCCTGGTTGTTGTGCTGTCATTTGAATTGAAAATTTCATACCTGAAGCTTTTGAAGTTAGTTTAGGTAACGGAGTTTGCGCGATCTCTGTGACTACTACTAATAGACGAGATTGCTAATGAGACGTGTTTGACTTATTGAGGATAGTTTCATCTGCTTTTCTATTGATTGTTAATTCTGTGCTAGTCTGATTCTTTCTATTTGGTTCTTAACTGTTCTGTACTGACTAAAGTTAGGTTACGCGAAGTGTTTTGTCGGATTGAAGTTCATTTTCAATGTGGATCAGTTTTTCATTGGTCTCACCGTAATGTTATTTAGCTTCTAGTTGAAATTTTCTGCTACCCTTCTCTTTACTTGATATAATAATACGAATGAAAAATTAGACAAATGAAGTACTATCTCGCTTAATTCAAAAAATCTTATATTTACTAAATTGAAAGTAAACTTCGTTACCTGATCGTGAATTTGGATCTGATGTCTGTGATGAATCTGCAAATATCTGTCAATAAGATATGGATTCGATTGAAATGTGTAGTGCTAAATCTATTACTTTTCAAAATCTGGAAACGTTCACAATTTCTCAACTCATCATGAAAATCATTCGTTTCAGTTAAATTGGCCACGGAACTGAAGTCCTGACCTTGTTATTCTAAATAAAGAATAAAGATTATTTGGCGTAGAAAGATCCTATAAAACCACGAAATTTACTACGAATTTAGCATGGCAGATTGGTGTGATTTCAGATATTGGTTGACCGACAGTAACTACGGACAGCGCATGCGAGGAACAGTCGAAATCATTGATGAAACGCTATTGAATACGATACTTCAGTAACATGAGCAGTGTTGTAGTGTACTGCGTCTGGATCATAAGCAAACAGTGAATAGGAGTGTAGTCAAACTTTCTTCGATACAAAATATGCACCGAAGTGTGGACAAATGTATCAACAGAACAAGTTTGTCTAAAAAACAAGATGTGTAAATATGCTACACTTTGGTGTCCATAGCATACCGAGGTGTCGACGATCAGGTGTTCTGAATCCAGAGAAAGTGTATACACACAAGCCCGGCTGACAGGTGCTACACTGAGGTGGAGGTCCAGTTAGTATATCTCAATGATCCAACAGGCTACATGCTGGAACGCTTGTTCCCCCAAAGTCTTATGCCAGAAAGCAGTTATCATTGTAGTGTAAGCTACTACATTATAATGGCGGCGACATCGTACTGTTCCTGACTTCATGAGGTGTAAAGGCAGTCAAGTGTTTTTCTTGGATGACTAGCAGTGTCATGCTGATGCTACCTTCCCTGTGAGAAAGCGGACAGGGTTAGAAAAGGTCAGTTGGGTGGTGTTTACAGAGTCCCATGCTTATGAACCGATAACGGAGTTCGTCTACTGGAATTGTGTTGCGACAATAACTTGTTTCTGGCCAGCAGTAACTTCAAGAATAATGAGAGACACTGTCTTACATGGCATTCGTCGATATCTAGTCAACGATGGACATCGATAGATCACATTTTGATAAGCTATTTTTGGAGAGGATTGTCGCTGTTTCTGGAGTACCAGTTTGAGCTGCAGTCACGCGTTAGAACGAGCTCATATATGTCTGTGCCTTACTGACCGCAGGAAATAGAAGGCAGTGAGGCCCACGTGTGCTCAACTGGAAAGTGAGGATACCTAGAACCCATTGAACGTGACAGTAATGCTAATGTTCAGCAAACCTCGCATGATATAATGTCTGCTGTAGAAAACAGCAGTAGAGACCGTTGGTAAACTACACACGAAGGTTATCGAACCTCATTCGATTTCCGTAACGTAATCGGAACTGATTGGTGAAAGAAGGCTGATTTCAGCTGGCTCGGACTACAGGGAATAGCGAAAGCAACTTAAACCTGAATTGACCAAGAGTCTTCGGATCGATACCGAGCTGTGGTCTATGGCTTAAAGGAGAGAGATGGAGAAGGCTTCACAGTCAGGCAACACTGGTTGATTTTCTAGGCTTATTAGGCATGCCGACAAACAGGATATGATGGCGGGTGAAACCATCACTGGAAAGGATGAGACGTTGATAGCCTCCCGTGGAAGGTGGCTCGAACATTGAGGGAAGACTTTGAAGCACTTTGAAGCTGACCCTCAGCTACGCTTCACTCGTCCAACATCCAGCCTGAATTTGAATGCTATGTAGATGTTCATCCCCAACTTTCCTTGAAGTTGGGGGAGTTGTCTCGAACCTAAAACGATGCAAAGCATCAGGAGCTGACAGTTTGCCACCCGAAGTTTCTGAGGGTGGAGATAGGGAATTCCTGATGAGAGTGATGGAGGTAGTAGGTAGTGTATGGAAATCAGAGGTAGTGCCGTGTCATTCTGGTGTACTTCACTGACCATGCCAGTTTACAAGAAAAGAGAGGAGTCTTCGTGTGACAACCATAAGGGAGTTGATTTCACTAATATTGTGTTCGTGACCACAGGATCCATATTTATCCAATGCTTAAGTGGAGCTGGAGGAGTCCAGTTAGGTTTCAGACGTGGATGAGGATGCATCGGTAAGGTGTTCGCCGTCCATCAGGTTGTGGAACACAGGCGTACTTGCTGGTATGCAACACTTAGCATATTTGTTGACCTGAAGGTGGTATTTTGACTCTGTCGACTGTGAGGTGTTGTAGAAGTGTCTGACTGTGAAGGGAGTCTCGAGTGGGTATATAATTCTGATCAAAGCTGTTTAGTCGAAGTCACTCAGTCGTGTCGGGCCTTATGGAGAGTTGTTACCAGATTCGACAACACCTAGTGGTGTCCATTGAGATGTCTACTGTCACCGTTCCTGTGTCACTTTATTATAGACATACTACTGGCCGTAACGTTAGGTACGTCCAACTTTACAGGGATTGATTTTCTCTCTGGTGGCCATGTGGCTGACTTGGAATGTGTAGAGGATATTGTTCTGATAAGTGAAGACACTCAGACAATGCAGAGTCTTCTGAACGCGTTGAGCAGAAATCTGAGTAGTTTGGCATCCATTTTACACCTTTGAAACGTAAGATGATGCTCCACAATTGGTCTGCTACATTTGACTTATTATTAATTTATTTCTCATTTGGCTTCCTAGTGGGACATAGCGGTACAGTAGCACATCGTCATTTCAGTCTGTTCTCTGTAGTCTTTTTAACCTGGTAATATTATACCTTCAGAAGTAAGGAGTTAAATAAATTAATAGTTAGTAAAATAATAAATAGGCATAGAACAATCTGAAAGTGAAGCTGTTCAAATTTAGTATGCATATTTTCCTTGATAAAATCAAAATATGATTTGCCAGCTGAATAAAGTAGAATATCTCTAATGTTCACCAGATGTCTCGTAACCAGAGGATCATTGACCGAGTGCACTAATGATAAGTTACAGATTATAGTCTGAGTGGTGTTTGAAAGTTTGACCCCTACTATGAAGCTTGAAACATAGGTTTTTTCCAAATGGCTTTGTCTCATCGTGCTCATTAATACCTACACGCTTGAACTGAGACCCAAAGTTTCAAGTGTATAAACACTGAAATCTTGTTTTGTTTTGTAAAGTGCAGTCGTCTCATTAAAAAAGGACTGCTGTCTCGTATATATTTGCTTACAAATAATTTAACCTGGGAAATAATATTACATCTGATATGTAAATAGGAGGGTATAACGAGTGACCTGACTTGTAGATAGAATGGACATAGCATCAACAAATACACTTAGAAGAGGAGGGGAACTCATTACTGACCAATAACATCAGTAAAGTTTGTATTACCATCATCCGTGCGTCACTGTTTTTCTTAGCTTTCTCTCACCTCTTCATGAAAACAGTCAGATTAGTCAATATGCTAATATCTTAGCCTCTCCGAAATATGTTTACCATTTTTATTATTTGTCCCTTGGGTTCCTGGTGGAACATATGGCTTCAGCAGCATTTCCCATTGCACTCTGTTCTCCACAGTCTTTCCAACCTGATTACACGACTGCCCACAAGCTTTCATTTCTTCCTCACACCATCTCCTCAATGTCACCCTCGGCTACGACGCCTAACTCGTCGTTTCCCGTTTACCTTCGACTCGAGTGCCTGACCTGACGCGTGATGTCCCCAAACGGTCTTCTCAGTGTATGTCCAGTCCAATCGATCTCCACTTTCTTCCACTGCATATTTGTTGGGTGATGGGTTATTGGTTGGTTGGTTGGTTGGTTCGTTGACCGGCTAGACTTCCTTGTTGCCTATTCTTATAATTCTAGCCATCTGATCTGATGTGATGTGATGTGATATTCAGTATCGAGTGAGCGTAGACGACAGCTGTTGATGCTGTATGTCTGTAGTTTGTTGGAAATGCTTTCCGTAATGCGCCAAGTTTCTGAACCATCACACTGAATTACACTGAATTGCTTGACTGACTGGATTAGTGTTGAAAATCTGGGTCTTCTTGTTTATGTTGAATGCAGGCAGTGCAGTGTAGTAGATCAGGTTAGTGCAGGGATGTGTGTCTTGCTGTCTTTTCGATCCTGGCTTTGACGTCTTCATGTGTGCCAGGACCACGTGTAGTTGAAACGATGCAGCATCACCTAGGTAAGTAGGTAGGTAGGTGAAAGACACAACTTCCTTCAGGTTTCTCTCGTTGATGGTGGTTGGTACTTGTCGTTGTTGTTGG